CCAGCGTTAGAACTTAGTTTCTCCGGCATATGTCTACAGAATCTTGGGTTTGTACACTACCGCGGTGATAGTGATTAGTCAAATGATGAGAAAGATAGTGAGTGACATGGCGCCAAAGATTATGTTCGACGACTTACCGTACGTCGATAGAATTCTAAGATTATGCTTAGATATTTATTTAGTCCGTGAAAGCGGAGAGCTGTGCCTCGAGGAGGACTTGTTCGCCAAATTAATATTCCTCTACAGATCGCCAGAGACGTTGATCAGGTCATTACCATATCATGTCATTACCATACATGTCGTATTAAATTATAAGAAGATAATGTAACAAGTAAATCGTTTTCTTTAGGTGGACCAGGCCTCCCGAAGAAGGGGAGAGAACTGATAATGAAGATCAAGATGACGCAGATGAGGATGCTGTTGCAGCAAGGGGAGAATCAAATGTTTAATCATTAAATGTTTCTGAGAATAACATTAGTGAGACTATTGAGGCAATTTTCAAAGGGACTAAAATTAAGTTTGTCCTTTGGCCAACAACTTTTGGGAGATACCATCAGTAATGTTGAATAACGGAGACAATAGTTGACTCACTTACGAAGTGACACAAAGAACAGTCCAAAAAAATTGGAGTAACTCAGGAATTCATTACAACCATGTTTGTTGTTAAAGAGTTGATTGAAAGATTGTTCCTATCTTCGAATATGTATACTATAAAAAATACGAAAATAACGCGAAGAGAAAGAGAAAGAAATTTAGGAAAAATTAATGAGAAGACCTGAGAATTATACGATAGAATTATTTATTTCGCAATTGTACTTTTAATTAAGATTTTACTAATCTTTATTTTAATATTTACCGGCAAGGAAACTCGAATTCGTTCATATTCAATGGTATGAAAGAGATTGTGATTGCGAAACGTCAGTGAGATGATTTTGAGACAAGTGCTTTATATTATAGAATTAAGCATCTACGAATAAGTTTGTTGTACCATGCGCGAGATAATGCTTTCTTTTTACTTCTTATTTATTAGATTTCATGCCTAAATCGAAGTACATTTTTAACGCATTTAAGATTGCATCATAAGTAAGAACCTTCTATTCTTAAAATGTTAAAGCCTCCGAAACTGCCGATTGCAAGATCTTTCGTTCATTTTTATACATTTTTCTAATCGTCAATTCATTCAACTATAATCCATGAACAATTTATCTGATCATTTTGCCAAATTTCGAGCACATTTTATATATTACACATATATATAAGGAAGATCTTGACATCACTGATTGTAAATATACATTGTACCATGTGCATCTTTGTTCAGACATTGTATCATGTCGCCTTAATATGCCTTTTAAAGAGTATCTTCGAATACATGTAAATTGTTTCAAATGAGTATAATATGCCCTCATCCTAAGACTTATTTTCTACTTTAAAAATACAAAAATCATACAAATTTAATTATAAAGTACTTTATTAAGCGTTTTCTTACTGACAAAAATTTACAATCTCTTTTTTTTCAGCTCAATAAATATATCCCCAAATCAACGCGGAATAAAATACATATGGCTCAGACTCTTTGAACTACATAACATATTTTTAGTCTCAAACTTTTTTATGACTTAAAAAAATTAGAGTAAAAATGTTATAAAATATGTGGTCTTGTTAATTTCAATATACGTGTTTATCTCTTCTTATTTGAAATATGCAACAATATGGAAAACATTCATATAGTTAAAACATTCGCAGAATCTTATTTATGTCCTGATAATTAGCAGCCATTGGTATTAAAAGGAAAGTTGTAAAGTAAGCCTAACAAATGTAGCATTTCCAACTACTTTTATCACACGTAAATACAATCATTAGATTATGCACGATCATTTTACAATGTACATACCATAGTACAATTTTATGTAGTCTAATATTAATCAAACAGATATGTTTATCTACAAGGAAAACGCATGACAAATAGTGGTAAAACCCACTATTCTTACTACGTGACATGAATTAGATAAATTGATGACAGTGGATTATTTAATGAGGGAAATTGTGAAAAAACATGAAGATTATTATGAATGACCATCTACAATCAGCAATACTGATCAAGGATCATACATTCATGTTTGTTGCTAAACATGTAGAATATATTTCCCAAAATTCAGTAGTATGTTTCATGATATTTTTTACTTTAGATTTTTGGTCATTTTATATTTTCATACATAATATCAATAGCTGATAATCATCAAATCTCATCATGGAATGGATATCCCTTTATCAACAAATTCTAAGTACTTGCATAGTATTAGAACAATGTACACTTTTGCTATTGCTTGGATAATTCCTTGCATTTCAACTTTAGTGCAACATTTTCTTGCTTCAGAAACTCATAGTCCTCCAACTTTTTCTGTAATTCTTCATTTTTCCTTTGTAGAAGAACAATATCCTCTTGTAATCTCTCATTCTGTTCAATTAGACCTTTTACTCTGTTGGAATCTTTGCTAGGATGCATCTCATTGATTATATCATCTGTTTGACATAACAGATGTTTAATGAGATTTGCTTGAGAATTAAAGTGCAGTTCTTGCATTGCCCTCAGAATCTTTGTGCTCTCCTGCTTTGTGTATATACTCACAATGTCTTTGATGGCATTGAGCAATGCAATTGGATCAGTTTCTTTGGATTCCACTTTTCTAAGATCACAGGCTTTCGATTTTTCTTTAGCAACTTCCATTTGGGAAGTTCCCTCTTTTAGGTAATCGGGTGGCCTGCTATTTTCCTTAGCAGACACGTCTGAAGCTTGGGCATTTTCCTTATAACTTCCTGAACGCCTCATCCTATCTTTCGCAACCATTTTGCTTTCAGAAATTTTCATTCTTGACTCCTTAATCTTTGCTTTAGCATCATCTTTGACTTCTTGTTCTTTCCCATCGCTTTTTACCTTATTTTCAATTGGCTTCAGCTTACTATCAACAGGTTTCTCTTTCCTCTCAGTTATTCTTACTTTCATTTGTTGCTTCCTTGTGTCTTGCTCAGACAGTTTCTTCAAGTCTTTTATATTTGGTTCCTTAACACCGGACTGTTTTTCAATGTGTACATTTTCCCTCTTGCCTTGCGGCATGTGTTGCAGAGGGGAGGACGTTGCATTTCTTGACGTTACATGCCGGTCCACTGGATAGGTATTTACAGTTTTAACGTCAGTAGGCACTAATTCTAAGTCTTCTAGGAAAGAATCGTTCATGTTTCCGTAGTTCCTCTTCAACGACGAATAAAACAATATTTTTGTGTATACATAAATATGACAGCGTTATAGGAACTTTTGTAAATTAATCACAAAAGATGTTTTTCAGGTTTTTTCGATCACAGCGCAATTGGGAAAATAATACCACAAATTTTTACAGAGATTCATTACAAAATGTCAAAGACTTCGATAGGATTTCGCACCATTTAATTGGAAGAAGCGTATACGTTTACTTACAGTAGCACCATTGTTTGAAACGTGTATTCCGGTTTAAAAATAGTACATTACCACATTGACCTTCAATCAAATTGCAGCGCACAAAGGCAAGCCCAATTCAAATTAACTGTCAGCTGATGTTTCGATATTCTCAAGCGCCATCTACAAGAACGTCAGTAAGTCGAATCCAGTTCTTTGATGGCGCGAATAGTGCTTATTTCATTCACCCTTTATTCAATTTTAAAGAAACTTGAAATAGAAAAAAATTCTTAAATATTTCTCTTAATTCGAATTCCAAGTTTAATTAAAAATACACTTAATTCAAAATTTCACTGAATTTTTATTTCGACTGAGCGAATGTGATGATTGTATCTGTTATGTTGGTAACTTTATCCCGCCGGTATATAAAGATTTATTCTCTATCGAAACACGTTAATTGCGTCTTGCTCTTTGTCGCACGCGGTTTAGAAATAGTTGTGTAAAACATTATCTTTAGGATTGTTGTGATTGTAAAATACGATGAAGAAACTCGTGTTACTTTTACAAACATTACTCTTCGTTTCAATCGCCAAAGGATTTACAAACATTTATCCTAAACCAAAGAATTATCCGCTTCAGAATGAAGAAGACTGCGGTACACCCCTTTTTCTGACACCTCTTATTGAAAGTGGTAAAATAGATGAGGCTCGCAATAAAGCCTCTGTACAATACAAAGAAATGGACGATATAAGCAGCTATGCTGGTTATTTAACTGTCAACAAACAGTATAATTCGAACATGTTCTTTTGGTTTTTCCCGGCCTTGGTGAGTAATTGTATACTTTGCACTTTGTTAATGAAAGATATTTAGACGTTTCAGTGAACGAGATTCTGATCACGCGCGTAACTTTGGAGCAAATAAAAAGATGTATTGTAAGAAATGCAAAGTAGAATTCTTTTTTTTTTTTAGCATAATCCAAAAACCGCTCCTGTAGTATTATGGCTACAAGGTGGTCCTGGTGCCACATCCATGTTTGGTTTATTCTTGGAAAATGGTCCATTTATAGTTACTAAAAATAAAACTCTTGAAATGCGTGAATACTCTTGGAACAAGTGTCATAATTTGCTTTATATTGATAATCCAGTTGGCACTGGATTTAGTTTCACAAAGGATGAAAAAGGCTATGCTACCAATGAAACAAACGTAGGAAGGGATATACATACTGCGTTAGTTCAGTTCTTTAAGTTATTCCCAGAGCTTCAAACTAATGACTTTTATGTCACTGGCGAGTCATATGGAGGAAAATATGTACCAGCTGTATCTCATGCTATTAAAGATTACAATATCAATGCACAGACAAAAATAAATTTAAAAGGTTTAGCAATTGGGAATGGATTTACTGATCCAGTGAATCAATTGCTATATGGGGATTATTTGTATCAGATAGGCTTACTTGATGCAAATGGCAGAGATCAGTTTCATAAATATGAAGAAAAGTGTAAAAATTTAATCGAGCAAAAGAAATATATACAAGCCTTCTATTTGTTTGATGAGCTTCTTGATTGTGATTTCAGTAAACAACCTTCATTGTTTAACAATTTGACTGGTTTCAATTATTACTTTAACTTTTTGCATCCTCAAGAACCAAATAACGATTCTGATTATATGATACAATGGCTTCAAACAGCAGATGTTAGAAAAGCCTTACATGTTGGCAATATAACTTTCAATGCTGAATCTAAGAAAGTAGAGGAATATTTGATAAGTGATGTTATGCAGTCTTTGGCAAGTCTTATAGAGGATCTTGTTCAACATTATAAAGTACTTATATACAATGGACAACTTGATATTATTGTGGCATATCCTTTGACAGAAAAATATATTCAAAACTTGAAATGGCCTGGAGCAGAGAAGTACAAAACAGCCAAAAGGAAAATATGGTACGTTGGAAATGAATTGGCTGGGTATTCAAAGACTGTTGATAATTTGACAGAGGTTTTAGTAAGAAATGCAGGACATTTAGTTCCTAGTGATCAGCCAAAATGGGCTCTTGATCTCATCACTCGATTTACACACAATAAAAGTTTTTAAATACTTAATTATTTTGTTAAGACATGTAATAATCTACATTGAACTTATATTTTCTATATAGGATTGTAAGTTATATATTTAAATTAATGATACTTAATAACCTGGCACATACTCAAGATACTCTATTTTGTGTTGAAAAAAATAGTAAACATTTATTAACAAAAGTGAATGTATATATATTTATTATTTGAGCTGCCTTAATAGATAATTCTTTCCTTAAAAATCGCTTTTGTTGAAGCGTCAAAAATATATGCGTTCGTCTTTGTATGGAAATTATTCGAGGGAATTATTCACAAGATATGTATAATGAACTCGACACTAAACGTCATCAAAGATTTTTGACCTTTGGAATTTTTTGCATGTCATCTATAGTTACGCTATATTAATCTAAATATGGCAATAAAAAATCGTCGACTATAGATACATTTTTGTGCCACTCATTATGAGTGACATTTGAAACTGTGATGAGAACAAGTCTTTCACTTTCATTTAATATCTTTAGTCCAATTAAATCATCCTTATAAATACTTCTATCACGCATATCTATCACAGTTTCGTTAACGTCATAATATCCGAAATGGCTACTTTGCCACGGAGTAATAACACCATCGTCAGGTCCTCCAACAAGCACCAATCGTTTTAACTTGGTGAGACCTTGTTTGAATGTCGGCATTTTCGTCGAATTCTTTTCATTGTTCACATATGGAAGGAAATTACTATATTTGTGATACAATTCCTGAAAAATTCAAGCGAAATATAGTTTACAAAGATATTAATAAATCGAATTTGCTACTAACTTGATGATGAGGATCATTCCAATAATTCCCAACACTAGTGTGTTGGCCAATCCTCGAATAGAACAGTTCATAGGCAGTTTCACACACTAAATCAGGGAAGAATAAATGCAAAAATCGAGCTGCAAAGAATATATTGTTTGAAACGACAATTCTTTTGTATGTGCGTGTGTTTTTGTCAAAGATGAAAGTCACTTACTCCCATATTGTCCAGCTTGTGGTGAGCTTAGTGAAATGAAATTCTTGACGTTGTGATCAGGAAACCTCTGTAGTATCGCTCTAGCTAATAAACCACCCTGACTGTAACCGATTAAATTTATTCCTTCTGGAAATACAACACCTATAGACATAATGTCCATGCCTATTTCTTCTACTTGATGCCACATTGACTCCAAACTACTCCATCCAGCATATCTTGGAATATTGTAAATCTCGGTTCCTGGGTGCATCTAAAATAAATAATGTTCTTAAGCTGAAAAATCATTTTTCCGTAAAATTATGTTTACC